ATGGGCAAAATTGACAGTCAAATGCCCACTAGTAAAAGCAAATGAGTGGTCAAATGCCCGCCCCATAAGTCAGTTTTTTTACGCTAGTTTTCGAGTGTTTTTGTTGCTTTTTGTATCGTGATTTTTCATCGTGAAGGTACAAAAGATCGAGAATGTTCCCAAAAATGATTGTAAGCCTCGTGGCTGCTAGCGATCCGTGATCATGTGAAGCGCCTTTGAACTGTAAGGATATCGGCACTATATAAATAATACGTATTATTATTAAAATGCTTAGGTTCCCGAGATATTTTTATTTTTAACTTAAGCTTAAAAGTTCGTATTGTGTCACGAAATAGCGGTTTCGCATCTGAATCGATAATTTCCAAGATGGCCGCCTACTAGTCAAATGCCCGCCCGTCTGCTCCTAGCAGAGTCCACTGTACGGAGGTAAAGTCGAGTCAAATGCCCGGGGTTTGCCCGGGGGGGGGGGGGGGGATGGGCACCTTTGGAATTGACTTATACATAATTTCACCACAGGTTATTCTATGTGTACCGCTCTTTATTGCATTCCTAGCCAGGTTTCTGCGAACTGTATACACTGCGGTCAAAAAGCGCTCGCACTTGTACCCAAATAGGTGCTGCGCGTTTGAACGCAATGTAGTTTACTTTTCGTGATATTAAAGCGCCATTTTTCGTCACATATGTGTGACGTTGGAAGGAAAAGGGTTAAGCCCGGTTCATACTTCGCGCTATCGTCGCGCCGAACCAAATAGTCAATGGGTGTCGACCCCAAATACATTTGGTACGGCGTTGATTCATATTATAACGAACCAAATGCAGTCTAAAGCATTAGAAAAGGTCTGATAGCACGCAATTTACATCCATTATTATTGTCGAAAACAGATATTTTTGTGCGTCAAGTTCGGCACGACGAAAGCTCGACGTTTGAATCAGCGTCGAGATTTTGCCTTGCACCACGACTGACGCTGCCGTGCCACTGCCATTCTACAGTCGCGCCGAACTCAATTGATTCATAAGTAGAGCTATTCATGTGCTATATTCAGACTATTGGTTCGGCGCGACGCTGGCTCGACGTATGATCCGGGCCTTTACTCTTCTAATTACCTCTAATGGAAACAACCATTCTATCTGTGCCTCTTGAGTTAGATGCTATACACGTATAGTTTCCGTAATCGTCTTCGCGTAATTTTGGAATATTCAGTTTAGAAAAGGTCTCGTTTTTTCCTCCCCACAAGACAGTTGTTCCGTTGGGAGCATGTTTAGTCCACATAACTGTAGGTGATGGGTTTCCTGTGGCGTTGCAATCTATGTCAACGGACTGCCCAATATCTTTGTTCACGATCTTGTACTTGGAATCAGAGATGATTTTTGGAGAAGCTTAAAACAATCGAGTATCAATCAATCAATGAATCACAATCAATTAACCAATCAATCAATCAATCAATCAATCAATCAGTCAATCAATCAATCAATCAATCAATCAATCAACCAGTCAGTCAGTCAATCAGTTGTAGCCCTGCCTTGGTATGAGTTTGAAATGGTAGGTACCTTCTTTTATCATTTCACGTTCAAACACCGTCTCGCTTTAATGCAAAGGCGAGGCTACCTTTCAAGATGGCACAGGGAAATGTAAATTATAATTATTATATTATAATTATATTAATATTATATAATTATATATATGATAAATACTGACTTACTTAATATATTAACATACGCGGTCTTTACGTCATATCCTTTATAGTTCTGCGCATGGCAAGTGTACAAACCAGTGTGTCGATTGTCAGCATCACAAATAAGTAACACGTTACCAGTTTCCTTCGATGTACTTTTTAGATAATAACCTCTGACTGTGTTTTCACAATTTTTTCGTTTTATCAACGAGGTGAGAGTGGACCCTTTATTATTACGCCATGTGATGAGAGGTTTCGGGTTAGCAGTCACGTGACAGGTGATCTCGATGTTCGTTTGGTTGTTGGAGTAGTGGTTGGCTGTGATGTTGGACAGACTGGTAATATTTGGTTTGAATACCGCTAGTAAATAGGAAAAAAGACGTATATCAAGGAATCTGGCTAAAAATATACTCAATCATATTTGCACAGGTTAGCCTGAAGATAAAAAAGACGAAGCCACTCTGCTATAGGTGTTGCGGCACTAGGAACAATGAATATTGAATGCATCTCAATTTCACTATTCAGTTCTATTTGTCAATCCCATTATATTGTCCAGTTGAAGATAGAAAGAAAACAAGAAAGTTGATATTTGCATATAACTATTTATTAGAATTCCGGTCGGGAAGGAATTTCGATTTAAAACTGTAGATATACCTAATTGGAAAAACATCGTTGGGTCGCGGCAAAAATATGACCGCAATGGATCTTGGTAATTCAGAAATTCGGATTATATTTGCCTAAACATGTTAGATTATAGCACTACTCATGGAGGTCATTTTATTCAGTGCAGATAAAAATGTTATACACCTAATATTTGCTTTCCCATGCTCCCTTTCGGGCTTTCATGGTTTTTAAATTTATGATTTTTAAATCATTTTAAAAACTTTTGGAACCCAACTAAATAGATATAAATAAATATATACTATCTGTACTGCAATGATACTGATTGAATATCCTTTCAAAAATAATTGAAAACATAATATGCAAATGACTGTTGTGTTTGTTTAGTTTAAAAAATAATGTTAATGGAATTGATTCCAAGTTGCCATTGCGTCTATTTAATGATTTTATCTATGAACGTGCATCCTCTCGCGGCCACTGTTTGGAGCTCGGCCAGAGAGTTTGAGAGTTTCTCTTGAGTTTAACCGCTGTAAAGCGTCACGTGCTACCGGTCCCGCTGTCTTATCCTACTGTGGTACTTACAAAGAAATGCTTTAATCTCACAGTAATAGTGACGTAATACCACAATAAGACTTTTCTGAGGAGCATCATTTGTCCATTTTGATACGTACATGACCTTTGAAACTCTTAACAAATTACTGATGTCTCAGCAGGTTTTATTGTTCAGCAGGTTTATGGCAAAAAGAAAACGGCAAACTTACATACATAACGATGCACTGCAATAACGAGTAAGGCTTTCATATTAACCGCTTTTTTCTTGAAAATTCTTCAAGTTCGCAATGACATGCGCTTTTGCGTAGACGAATTTCCTTCAATTATTGAAATTTCTTGAAATGGTGTTGCAGGCGTATTCGGAAATACGTGATGAAAAGTCACCTTGGCCCTGCTGGCAGAAATTTGATTTCCTGATAGCTTTATTTGTACAACAGTCAAGATACTGGATATGTTAGCCTGTTTACATTGACCACTGGTGCTTCTTAGAGGATATTGCATGGGCGCGCGAAGATGCGGATGTTATCTTCGAGTGTTGAAAAGATCTCTCAGGTAGCGCAGTGAAAATAACAACTTTTCGAAAGTGAGAAATATAGATATTTCATGGATAATTATATGATAAATAATGCTATCAGAGGATATGTCTGTTTTTTAAAAGTACATCCTGCATATCATATTCAGATTATATTTATTAGGGAATAACGCTCGTCAGAAGCTGTGCAGCAAATAAAAATCTTATCGTAGTGCCCCTAAAACTAACAATCTTCAATTTTCGTTCCATTTTCTTTAAATTCACATGAATGAAAAATAAAATAAGATAAAAAATAAATAAATAAAAAATCAAACAACTGATGACATGGATTCAAACGATGCTGATACCCCGCAAGCAAAATCCCAAACCCTTGCTGGCTGAGCTGAACCCCACCCAACGCACACATCTCCTTATATTTATTATTTCTAGAAGCCATTCTACATTCCTGACCACCATTAACGTTTGATCTATCTCTTGAAACAACTACAAAGTAAATAAAAACACTTTCTCTTTAGCTTTTGTCAATATTTAGATAAATTAAGAAGTTTACTACACAATCCGATTTGCATTCAATACGTTCAGACATGTACTTTACGAACGGAAGTCTACCTTGACCGTCGGTTGTTTTTAAAAACGTTATTTATATTCTGTACATGTCCAAAGATATTCTTTTATTGATAGACGTCTTTCGTTTTCAAGCCCTCGAAAGTAATGAATCGTTCAGATTCTATTTAATGCACGAATAATCAATTATTTTTTACTGCTATCAAGAAAATTATTCAAACAATCGTAAAAGGAAAAAAAAATAATTGATCATGTTTCTCCAATACATGTGGGATATATGGATGTGGGAAAAGGTTTGCATCTGTTAGCGCATGCGCATACAAGGTCAACTTAAATAAATTCCCGAACGTTTTCAATACGGCGCAGTTAAGTTAGTTTATCTACGCCGCAGTCAAGGTCTAAGCCTGACTTAGAAGAAAAAAAGAAATTATAAGTGGTTACACTAACATGCTGAGATAGAATGAACAAAAGAAGGAACTGTTATCCCCCGATGGCTGCTTTAAACTTTGAATCATTACAAGATCCTAGAGATCTTTAATCGTTAAAACTTTACATTTGGTTCCCTTACCTTTCACTGTAACCATTTTGACGTCGCTAAGCCGCGATCCATCATAACCCTTGCCTTTGCATCTGTAGCGACCTGTGTCGTCGACTGTAGCATTAACGATTGTTAAAGTAACAATTTCGTTAATGTCTTTGACTGTCCTTCTTGAGATCAACACTCTTGGGTTACGGGAGTTCTGCGTGATTTTGCGCCCATTTTTTGACCACCTTGTGAAATTTCCAACCGATATCACACAGCTTAGTTGAATAGTTTTTTCAGCATCAAATGTGTCAACTCCTTTGACTTCTACTTCTGGTTTGTAGGCCCCTTTACAAAAGACAGTACACAACGACATTACGAGATGTAGTACAATGATTCCTGATTTTATAAGCTGCATGATGCCCTCTGAATGCATGTTAGTGAAATAGCAAAATATCTTATTCTAGTTATCAAAACGTGTTCTGTTTGATGTATAAGCTCGTTCGCCGATGTGAAAACAATATGGGATATAACAATTGAATTGAACTATGAACTAGTTGATGTGTTTATACCTGTCGTATAACAAGAATGAAACATCTTGGTTATACCCGTATTTAGACAGATTTTGTTTTCATTTCGAGTTTCGAACCCTAGAAGTACAGTAAGTGAAGCAAGTTATTTTTTGTTTACACTTTCTACTACATTTATTCAAACTTTTAAAACTCCGAATCTTCGACAATATTCAATGTAAAACACAGATCAAAAGCCAGATTAATTTAAAATTGAACTCATTCAACAGGAGCTAAGGCCACACATGTATTATTCGCCCTAATATACGGCGGACTAATGAACTGATGAAAAGAAACGAAAGAACGGGAAGGCAGAAACTAAGTCCATAAAAATACAGAAAAGACATTTATATCAAAACAGGAATACGATTATAAAGGAAGAAAAGTAGTCGTGAGAAAAGAAAGTCCGGTGGCCCGGCCATAGGATGTGGTGAACAAAGACAAAAATTAAGAGGGAAAGGAAGGAGTTTCCCACCAAGGAGAAATTGTAGTTATATAATAATAAATAAGTAGCTAGAATAAAATAAATATTAAATCGAGGAACTAGGAGGAGAATAAAAGGGAGGTGCTGAAAGAAAGGAAAGGATGACGAGATCAAACGGAAGGGGAGGGGGAAGAGAGGAAAAAGTAGGCTAGACAAATAGAATACTTGCGGAAAGGAAAGACGGTACTCAGGAAAGAGAATAACGTAGCTTAATACGCAAACAGAACAAAATCCATTAACTTACTTGATCGATAAAACGCAATAACATGGCTATCATTGCCGAGAGTATTGCTGGCAATACACTTGTAATATCTGGTATTCAGAGCAGATGTCGGTACTGTAATTGTGCTATTAAATGTAGAAATATTGCTGGGAGGTCGTTGATCATGATTCGCTGATATGGGTTGCCAGTTTTTGGACTGTGCTTTACATTGTTTTTGTGATATGCACGGCAAGCTTTGCAACCATTTAAAATAAGTAGGAAGAATCTGTCCTCTTTTCTTGATGATCTTACAAAACAAATCTTTAGCCTTGATGCCTTCTACAACAACTTCTTTGATTGTATCATCGATTTTCGGAGGAACTGACGAACAGAATTTAACCAGTCAATTGATAAATGAATCATAAAAAATTAATCAACTGTTAATTCAATCAAGCGAATTAATCAATTAATTAATTTAACCAATCATCTTTTAATCAACCGATCAATGAGTCATTTAACCAGTTGGTTAGCAAAGCAATAATATATAATTAATAATTTTATCAGAAAATCAATCAATCAGTCACGCAATCAATCATTCAACGCAATCCATCAATCAATCAATACAGGGGAGGATCTAGGGATTTTTTTGAAGAGGGGTGGGGGGTGGGGGTGTGTGCAAACGTTAGACTGGCGGAGAGATATATAGATCCTTGAGATAGGGAGACTACTTTCGATCCAAATTACTTCGGTTGGTGGGCAAGTACAACAGGATTCCAAACCCGAAGTGAGTTTAAATCTTATGAAAATGATAACTTCGTTGCCTTTTTTGTGTCCTTTTTCTCTATGTTAAAGACGTATTAACGGGGTATCTGATGAGTAAAATGCTGCCATAACAACCTATTAACCAATAACGCGTAGTAGTGTTAATCAAATCGTCCACTTTCATAGGGGGGTTGCAGCCCCCCTCAACCCTCCCCATAGATCCGCCCCTGTCATTAAGATTATTAAGCAGATTTTCCGAAAAAAAATAGTACGGTGTTATATACATTTTTATAAATGAAGAAAATGGAAAGGGAAATTTAGCGCAAAATGAATGTATGTTTCTCCAAAGCAATTGTTTTATATTGTGCAAATATTTAGTTGTAAATATAAGTATAAACAAATGAACTCTTACATTGAAATGCCGCAACAATGCTTTTCCTTGATGAACTAAAATCATTAGTAGCCTGACAAGTGTAGTTTCCTTCATCTTTTGGGTATGTAGGAGATCTTATTGCCAAACACTTCACATTTTCACCTTTTTCACATGTAAACATGTTGGTTAAGATCCGTTTTCCATTCTTAAACCACTTTAAAGTTGGCCTTGGGAAGCCGATAGCACGGCATGGAATATCTTTTCTTTTTGAGGGTTGCAATGCCAGATACTTTCCTTGAGGAAAACTGACTATCTGTACTTGTACAGGATCTGTCAAATTGAATATATCAATCTATATATTGAATATAACAAACGTAACAAAGAACAACAGAGTTTCCAGTGTAGAGTTACCTTTCCTAAAAGGAGGAATTAGGGCCGAGTAGGATGTTCCAGATCTGAAGACCTGAATCTCTCATATAATCTTTTCAGTTGACAACGCTTGTCATTTATTAGTGGCACTTTATGTTACCAAAACATTAACTGAACTAAATTATGAATCAAGTCACGGATCACCACAGGAAGCCCAAAGTTTTCAGCTGTGATGGGATAAATAGGACTAAACACTTTTAAACTGATCATCACAATAAGTTGAGTTGACCAAAACTGCACAAGAACACTTAGCCAGAGATTGGTGCACTGTTGCCAATCCAAAACTATTCAAATCTGCTCAAAACCTAGACCATTCTAAAACCTTGTTGATTGCTTTAGATTATGTAGTTGAAGATCTGGAGACTCCTGGCTAATCCAAGAGATATGATAAAGCTACAATATAAAAAACTGTGCAAAGGTGGACCCTATTGTCTCTGATAAACATATAAAACATAAATGAACATATTTAAAACAAACGAAACAAAACTAAAAGAAAAAAAAAAGAAAAAAAACAACAAAAAACAAACAAACAAAAAATCAAAAGGTAAATTGAATTGACTCACTTTTAATAGAGATGACTTTGTCAGTTTCCTTCGCCGCCATTCGACTAGTAGCTTTGCAAACATATCTTGTTTTTGGCATAACTGATGGTGTTATGAACAGCAACTTTAGGGATCTGTCATTGCTTATCAATCTATTATTTGGTAGTTTGATATAACCACTTCCAGTAATCTTATAAAACTCCAATTTTATTATTCCAACTTGTGTGACACGGCATGTTAAGTTAAAGGAGTATCCAGCAGGGTATACAGAAGGACCATCAATCACAGGCCTTGGGATGCGTGAATCTGAAAAAAATGGCATGTACACAGGAATTATAATATAACATGACAAAGCTTTTGATAAAAATAATTCATGAGGAAATGATATGATCCATTTTACAATAGCCGACTTTAGATATTTTGGTTCAGTGACCATGCACAAAAGAATTGCAGACGAGGCTCCGGGGAAATAAAGAATAAATCAAGATTATCCATTGATAATTTTATTTTTTTTAATATTGCAAAGAGTTATTTTGAAGTGCACGCTTCAAAATGACCAATCAAAGAGCGTATAATATCGTTTTATTCTTTATTTCCCCGGAGCCTCGTCTGCAATTCTTTTGTGCATGGTCACTGAACCAAAATATCTAAAGTCGGCTATTAAAGTTGTGTCAATAAAAAAGACTGAATTGCTTTAATATCAATGCCCAGGTACATCTATAGCAACATTGATACGCACTGTAAAATAATAGACACATAATAATTATCAAAAATTTAAAACATCACTTACAAGGCATAGGTAAGATTTGGCACTCCCAGGTGATTTTTTGTCCTTGCTGATTTTGTGCTACACATTTAAATTTCCCATGTGATTTTAGAGTAATATAAACTAAATAAACTGATCCATTTGATGACTTTACTATTGCTGGTCGGTCTTTGAGATACAAAGTTGAATTTGACTTGGGATCTGTTGTACGGCAGTCAATCTCCATGTTACTTAAAAAAGGTTCATAACGACTGCCAAATTCGCAGCTAGGAGTGTTTATAAAAGAAAATCCTGTAAAAGAATGATATATAGAGATAATAGTAATATTGTACTGGAAATAGGTTTAGTAAAAGGTGTGAATATTGGGTTCCCTGTATCAAAGAAAAAATGCTATAAGGGATGGTATAGTAGTGGACACTTTAAATCTGTGAAACAAAATTACTATATTGAACTATTTTTGTTTCACAGATTGAGTGCATCTTCCTCTATAGTTAGAGTGATGTCAATAAACCTGCAAAAACAAAAAACAAAAAACAAACAAAAATTGACTATCAAACTGCGACAATCAAATAAACACAAAAGAAAACAATGGAACTAGAGGACTATATAAGTGTAAAATCTATTTCACTGGTTTTTGACTTCACTATAGTGGATGAATGAATGGAAGAGTGAATTGACTGATATAGGAATAAATGAATGGATGCATGCATGAATGGTTAGATGATCAATGAACAGGTGAATAAGTAGATGGAGGAATATAGATGATAGATTGAATACATTCGTGAATGAATATTAATGTATACATGAATGAGAAGAAAGACTGACTGGATGTATTAATAATTAAAGCTGATGTCAATACTAGATTATTATTTTCTAATTTGCAGTTAGAAAGGAGTCAACAGAGTGAATAGAAATGAAGGAATAGATTACTAAACACAGTGTTAATTGTATTAATGATACATTGTGTCACATTCTACTGAAAATTTCCCTATTTTCCATTCTCTAGAAATAATCTATTGTCTCAGTCTAAGGCGGCGTGGTCTCTACAATTTCTGCCAAAAATTAATTAAGTCTAGTCACATGTGGTGGATTTGTTTACTCAGAACAACGAACAAAATAACTTTATTTTCATAACATTGCAGTTACATGTTCTGGTCGTTTCAAATTTTATTGTTTCGAAATGTCAAAAGAAACCAATCTAGTGTTCAAGGAAGCAAATTCAATGCCATAGTTAGAACCAGTTGCGCACAATCTGTACAATATGCATTGGCATTTTACCAAATAATTCAATTATATTATGAGCTTTTATCTTAGATCTTATTCCCATTAATCATAATAATAAAGCAAAACGTTATCTTTTCTATGATAATTCTGTCGGCAAACCAGTAAATAATACAGATCGCAATCAGTATTTCACGCTTACTTAGTCGAGTAGCTTAGTCGTCTAATCATTACAAAGTAAAGTATTTATACATACATTATATAACACACACCGCAGTAGATAGCAGATATGTTTATGGTTATCTTAAGTAATGTCATGGAGTAAATTTTAGTTACGTACCTGTGGTTTTAGATGTTGCTATTATTATAACGTGGAGGACTCCCCAAATACCGACACTTAAGACATTCATCACGGCCAAAGAATCTGAATCGTGCTTACTTTAAAAAGCCACCATAGACTTCAGATCTGTATAAAATAGTTCTACTTTTGGATTAAAGACACACGCGGCTATTAGTCAAACCTAAATTCAAAGACGAAGGGGTCAACGCGCTCAAGTCAACAAAGAATGTGACGGAATAGACAGGAAGCTAGCGTGTCCCTGCCTTGTAAATATTCTACGATATCCAATGACATCAAAGTCAGTATACCCACCTTTTCCGTTCAAAGGCCAAGGATTTGTTCTGGGTCTTTGAGCAGAAAACTCCAATCAAAGCGACAATCACTCTTAAAAATGATGAATATTGTTTTGATAATGTTTGGCATCAGAACAGAGCAGAATATGTTGATCAACATTGAGATAGGGCAACTCTATCTGTTCGCTCATCACCCACAATTACTACTTCGTTTTCCTCTCCACTTTATAATCTAATGGGTAGGATAAATCATAAAAGCGTAAAAATTGCCGCTTTTCTCAGAAACTGACCTTGATGTTCACAAAGATTGTTTATATTTACCGTAAATTTGCGGTTCTACAATACCTCTCGCAGGGATTTGATTACGTCATTCTGATGCGGTATAAAGTAAGACACGAGGCGAAAAGACCTCACCTCGAGTAGTTAATTACTGTCGAACAAACTGCTCCAGATAAATCTTGAAATGTTCTACCAAATAACTGAGGAGATTCACTTCTCATTGGATTATCTAGATGACAAAGAAGGTGGAAGTCATTTTGTTTCTCTGACGAGGTCATTAGGACCATCGAAGATGTCACGTTGATCGGATTTGATCATATCTTTTAAAACCATCTATCATATCTTTTAAAACCATCTGTCAAATACTCCACAAACTAATTTTCTAATTACTAGTAAGTTAAAAAAAAATACGAGTTTAAATATCATTGATTGATGATGTGTTATTTTTTCGGACGTTTTGCTGCAAAGGATTGCTCATGTTTCCGAGTTTGTTTTCAATTATAATATTGAGGAGACAAAAACCAAAAAAACTAAGCTCAAACGTACTTCGAGGGCAAGATTGGCTAATATATTAACCCCAGAAGAGCTTAGAATAATAAAGTTAGAAACGCACTAAAGATATGCTGATAAATTTGGAAGTCGCGTGCCGCACCTTGGTTTAGTGGAGTGTAAACTGAAAGCCGTATGAGTAAAGTTGGCTATTGGTTCATTTTTTCATCAAATCTTAGTTAGTAGAGGGTAACTGTGGTCAAATGCTGTTGGCAATCTGAGAAAACTGAAAGTCACACTTCACTAATAAACCCAAGAAACGCATCCGGAAGCCACAGTAAACTCTGTGGTTAAATTTAACGGTATAGTACCTGAAATGAAGCTAGAGCAAAAGAAAACATAACTGTTTTGTAGACTATATGTAATTCATGCTGGACTAAATCTCACTAAAAATTATTAAGCGCGAATATCAAAAGTCTGCAAAGCACGCTAGAGAAATTGCTTTGTAAAGATTTTGTCATGCTGTCCGAATGTTATTTTGAAATTTCTCGGAAGCCGGATATGTTGAAAATGGATCTTCAAGGCGCGAAAAAGAAAAGTGAGCTGATACTGTCTAGACGATGATAATATAAAATACTAAACCAATATATACATGACACTATAAATAAAGTAGTCATTACAATTCAGCCTCGTGGTCTACATGATATATTATATTAAAAAGTGACTGAATTATATTAAAGGAAATAGCTACTTACACACATTCAAAAGCGCAAACGGTAATGGTCGTTAATTGACCCCCAAGCGGATATATTCCACATTCCTAAGAAAAAGAACAGAATTGAAAGTACTTTTAGTCGCCGCAAGATATTGGTAGCATGACTCTACATCGCTTTTTAACGTACCTTTTGGAACAAATTTCTATTCCATTGCGTTAAAAGAGCATCCAACAGCACATCCACAATGTATAAGAATCGATGTAAAATCGAATCGACATGAATTGCATAAATTAATCGGGTTTATTAAAGGATTAAGCTGAGAGCCCCTCCTATTTATAAGGGATCGCCCACCTTGCGCGTGATAAGTTCTTCATTTCTATCGCAGTTGGTTCCAGTCCACTCTCGGTAGAACTGTGGGGATATGATTTATAGTACTATCATGTCTAACTAACTAAAAATACTTTGTTGGCCTAGTCTGTTTCCCATCATAGGGCCTTTTTTATGCGTGAGTTTGTTCGTTTCGTTCATACTAATGTCAATGGAAGCTGTTTTCATGTGAATTGAAATGACAAGTCATGTGCTAGTCATATCTGTGTGTCAGCACCGCATTGTAATGGTTACACGCAACAACGGGTGCTGCTGAGCGGTCGGATTAAGTGATAGACGAATAAAAACCACAAATGTTTCCAGACTAATATGACCTTGTGTGGTCTGTGTGAATCCAAGAACCATTGCGGAATTTTCTCACTTTATACTAACATTTTAATACAACTTTCAACAATGACAGCTCTTTTTCAAAACAAAAGAAACGATCGCAAAGGTCCTCGGATGCAAGCAGGCCGTAAGGGTACGCGTAAAGACATGTTAATGTAAGCCCAGCGAGGGGTGACCACTCCCTTCATTCTATTACCACACCCTTTATTGCATACGAAAATATTATTTATAAAATTTTCGATATATAACGCGCGCTTTGATTTGCTGACAAACCGTGTTTATCAAGCTTTCGCTCGAAAAATTTTATAAAAGAAATATAAAACGGCCGCTTGTGTCTCTGTTCTCTGATATAAACACTACGCTACACTCGCTACGCTCGTGTTCCTAAGCTTGCTTCTCTCTTGTTTTTCGAACTCCCACCGTGTTTTTATCAGAGGACAGAGACACGCGCGTCGTTCTATATTTCTTAAATATTGACATATTGAAGCAGAGTCTCGAAAAATGCTAATCTGGATAGTTGTTTTACTAATGTTTCCCCATGTTTCGCCCAATGCCATCGAATCCGGATCGTCCCTAGATTCCGGTATATTTTACCATTTATATATTGAGGCTATTGAGTATAAATTAACACCTTTTTTTAGATCTCATACACGGACTATTACCGTCATGAACTGTATCATCATCGGTTAGACGAAATGATCAGAAACGTTGTATAAAAATGCTATAATCATTTTATTACAAGTAATAAAACCATCAATATTTCAAAATTGCCACATGCATAACTAAGATACATGGAATACCATCAGTAAAAACACAATGACTACCATATAGATTAGTATGGAAATTATATTAACTCTCAATTACACCGCGAGAGCTTTATCGAGTACGAGTACGACGGACTAACAACTCACAGTCCATATAAGAAGTAAAAACAAAAAAACAAAAAAAACAAAAATAAAAAAAAGTTTTTCTCATTTCAAATATTTTTAAATGATAATCATACTCCGCAGGAGCCAATTTGCAGTAGTTAGCTTAATGTTTTAAAAATGTATGAACATAGTACGCATGTCACTTTAAAAAAAAAATGACTATTAATGTGTTTAATAAATGTAATGTTTGCACTCGATATGTCAATAGCATGCATACAAATAGTCCCTGCTAGCCTGACCAATTCCTTATTATCACGAAGTTAAACTTACAGACTGGACCACTTATAGCAAACAGGCTGCCCCAAGATGGGGCCATCTATCACTTGTTTTGTTATCTACTACCTAAGTCATGCATTGGGCACCCTGTTTCATGTAAAGAACATGAAATGTCTGTCTTTCTTTTTGAATTCAAGTAGGATGGTGCGAGTAGTTTCAGTCACGTCCAAATAGATATAAAAATCTGCGTCAAGTGATCCTAACAAATTCATATAGGAGTCTGTGTCTTGACAGAGGCCGGCTCAATCGAAGGCAATTTAGCACAAAGTCGATGCGCGACGTTCCAACAAGTGCCAACCGCCGACAAAAGATGTGCGTGAGCTGTCATTTCGCAGACCTACCAATGTTCTAACGGTCTGGCGCCAACAGATTCAACATACAACGGGCGAAGAACCAAACTTGTTTATCCAACATGTGCCAGATCATAAATGCATTAACGATCCACTTTTATAATGCTGGATTTATGATGCTGCGCTACCCTTCCACAGCCCAATACTCTTTAAAAACATGGGCGCGTGAACGGTTGCAACATCCATGTAGGTACCCCAATTTGCTGCGCGACGAACAAAAGGTCGTGTAATATCCAAATGAATAACCTCCTCTAAGTCCCGAAACACCAACAAACGACAAACGGTGTTTTGAACGCTGAGACAAACTCGGTGTAATCTGAACTTGTCGTTCAATATTTTCCGGACTTTTCTTTTTCTATAGACGGCAAAGCTAGTCACGTGGTATTCCATTTTTGAGCGGCATTGATAAACTCATCCAGTTGTATAAGATCAGATTTTCAAATATTACCCATATAATAATTCTATACAGTTGATTCGTGGTTTAAAAGTGGCTTGTGTTCGACATGTTTTTCCCTTTTTAACGTTCCACTGATGTATTCATTATTATTAGTTATGGATGATGGAGGTGATTGATTTGATGAGGCTGGTGAGTTGGGTTTACTACAAACGAATAATAAAAGATGATGTAAACCGGGTATGAGCGTATCTAAAATCATAACAGACTCCATTTGGGATACAAAAATACGTCATTATTTCTATTAAGCTTGTCACTATAAAGAATCACATAAGGGAAAAAGTGAGCCCGAAATGTGTTATGGGTAGTTTTGAACACTCTAAAAATACCGCGTGCTTCCAGAGACGATCATCGAAAGCGGTTCGTGTATATTTTGTTTAAATGTCTTTGATAAAACACACCAAAACGCATGCCAACGCAGATATAGCCCATGATGCTTTTAGAGTTTAGCTTTCATCTTTTTGGAGTGACAAATTTAAATGAAATAAGCAGCAGTGTATCATGAAATCGATTGTCCCCAAAAATGGGTATTATTAATAATCACTGATGGCAAACAGCAGTCAGTACTAAAAGATTTATGAAGTGAAGACCTTTGAGGTACGTTTGCTCCTATCTTTCATCAGATTAGTTGCTATTGTCTATTTAACAAACAGATCTCATTTTTCCGTGCGTGTGTACTCTAATAGATACACAGATGACGTCAAAATGTAGTGAGAACAAAAAAGTACGCACGAGACGCAGTCGAGTGCGTGACTGTTGTTCTCACTACATTTTGACGTCATCTGTGTATCTATTAGAGTACACACGCACGGAAAAATGAGATCCATCTGTTTTATACAACAAACAATTAGTTTTGACGTAATCCGTGTATCTATACTTTGATAACACACGAAAGCCAACCAATCAAAACGTCTGATTTTACTGAAAAGTTGTATAACATACTGTAACAGACATTCGGTCGTGTATTCTCCAATAGGGTATTTCACGGATAACTCAGCTATTTAAATCGCGCACTTAGTGAAAACCTAATACCAAAAACTGAAACGAACTACTTAAAATTAGCAAATCATACCAAGTTTGGAAACAAATGAGGCCATGTGAATTGAAGAAGATGCAGCACTTCAAAAACACCAAAACCTATTAAGAAATGCATTTCTTTGTAATATTTGTTGAATTTGAAAAGCTTTATCTTCTTGAATTTTCAACGCGTTATTCCCGAACTTTGCAAATTTATTGATTGTTGTTATTTTGTTTCAAAGGTGGTAATGTGGTTTTCACTAATAACTGATCGATTTCAAATGGCTGAGTTACCTGTGACAGGACATTTTATTTGAAATAGGGAGTTCACGTTAATTACCTCTTTGATCCATCACCAGGTGTTTCTCCTTTCGCCTCCATATTTGATTCATCTGACAAAGGCAGTTCTGAGCAGCAATTAATGCTTTCAGCTGCATCTTTGCCGTTTAAAAGGAGGTAACCCAAAGTATCCTACAATTTACAGAATAAAATTTGTTTGAATTAAAAATATAACTATACAACAACAGCAACGACAACAGCAAAGGTTTCATGACTATGACCATGCCGCGTCGTGATCTGTGGTTTTCCACAGCCATACTATATCCGCGGCTCTAGTACCCTAGAAACGCAATACATTCCTGGAAAATCTACGTGCCATATGTCCATGGAAAGATATACGCACCCACCCCTAGCAATTTTGTCCACTTAGCTCATTCTAGCCAACTATCTTTCTGGATTCATCATTTTCGAAGTTAACTCAAAGTTTGCTCACCTCTTCCGACAAAGCTCCTAAAAATGCTGAATGATGCTACGCAAATGACTACGGTGTTTGTGTGGTTTTGTTATCTCACCTCTGAAACATTATCTTTAAATATCTGTTCAAGCCTGTACGAAATTTCTACAAATGTTGGTCTGTCTTCTGGTGAATACTCCCAGCATTGTCTCATGAGATCGTACAAATCAGTGGGGCAGTGGTTTGGCTGCATCATTCTTTGTCCTTGAGTAAGGAAATCCATAAGCTGCTCGATAGGGACTGTGGGATATGGCGTGCCTCCAAGGGTAAAAATCTCCCATAGTACAATTCCAAAGGACCATCTAAAGAACAGAGTATTGGACWTAAATTCAGGCCAATATGAGTTATTTTCTATTGCTTGAATTTCAATATATAACTTTCCACAGATGCCTATTTCTGAGAGATCTTCTATATGACAGTGCTGAATCTTTTCATAGCTTTGTCAAAAGTATGAAATCTAAGGGTATGCACTTAAATAAGTGGTCAGTACAGCCATTTTATTCATCCATTGCGGTTTCATCCATCCATCCATTCGTTCATTCATTCACTTATTTATTTATTCACTTACACATCGCTCATGTGCGTGTAAATACGATCAAACAAAGACTCCAGTGCCATCCATTTAATAGGCAGAAGTCCTCTGCTGGTCTTAACATAAAGGTCTTCTTGATAAATATCACGAGCAAGACCAAAATCGGAAATTTTGATGACGTAATCTTGACCAACGAGAATGTTGCGAGCTGCAAGATCACGATGAACACACTGCAAGCACAACGAAAACAAAAACATTAGCACTTACTACTGCTATATTTTATGGAACAATCACCGCGTGTTTTTTGCTTAATTTTTATCACAATTTTATTCCAGCTTTAAAATTCAAGAATATTAATCTTTTAATAATCTCATTCAAGGTTTCTGGATGATTTCCAGCGGTGATTTTGAGTTTTGAAATGCCCTCATTTGATAAAAATACTTTCAAGCAACATGACACTGTAAAAGATTCAAGAGGTATTCCAGTCAGTAACTTTTTTTAGTTTTCCTATTTTCAAGGGCTTTTCAAGTGCCATTGAAAATGAGTTTTCAATTCTAGGGCTTCAAGGGTATCACGAATCCTAGGTTGTTATCCTGTAACTTATAGTACCAATCAAAATGGGTGGCCTTCAAATTCAATCCAAAAACACGAGATAAATGTTCGATATAAAAAACATCAAAACTCCTAAACGGTGAAATTAAATATCTCCTCCTTTGCTAAACATTGTAGCAGGCATAATTACATGATAAAGTTTTTGTGCAAGACTTTTGCTTTCTGGGCATGTTGTCTTACCTTTCTTGAAAAAAGAAACTCCATCCCTTGAGAAATTGAATGAGCCATCACTATTAAGTCAACAAGTGTTAACTCCTGTCCTGGATTATGAGACGCTTTAGCCCAATTTGGTTCATAAATATCTCTCCTTTCTCTTAAAAATGCTAAAAGGTTTCCATGCGGAGCAAACTCTATTATCACCATTAGTCGTCTTCCTCGAGTGCACGCTCCAAGAATATTGACAATGTTTTTATGCTCACCAACGTGAATAAGAATTTTTAGTTCCGATGCCAAATCTGTGTAGTCAGCTTTAGTGGCACCCTCTAGTACGAGACAGATTACGAATAAATACTTAACTGTTTTAGGTTTTAAGTAAAAGACGATGAAGCTCAAAAATCAGCTCAAAAAGATCAGGGAACGCATGCCCCTCAGGTTTTCGCGCCAAAATAGGTGGGCGCGCGCGTGCTAAAAGTAAACGCATAAAAAAGTAATTCAATCAATTCAATCCTTTCCCTAGGACTTCTCAGATAGACTTACATGTTTTTCACAAAAGAAACAGAAATGTTATCGGGAATTTTATCGACAAATCGTCGGAAGACTGTGTCATTTACGAAAACTCGAAAGCATTTGTAGGACAAGCCGCGAGCGTCCGATTCCCGCGCGTTCTTCTGATTGGCTAATCGCACGCTGGCGCTACTATACGCACTGTGGATCTAGTAGTAGAGACAAGTAGTTTGAGTGCGGTCAGCTTGATAAAAATATGGCCAAACTCACATCACATCAAAAAGCGAAAAGGTAAGAAAATAAACTGAACAGAATAAATTTCTATGGATAGATAAGAAAAAACTTCAAGCTCAAACAGCCCGAAAAATGATTTTAAGTTATCATCATTCAATGAGAATGTTAAAGTAAAACTATCTTCAGTAGCAAGTTTACCTTTCAGTGTTTTAACTGCCACAGTTTGCTTGGCAGATGTAATGCTATCAGAGCGTCCTTTCTTTATTTTTTTCTTTATCAATTTCGACTTTTGTCGTAAATTCGCTCGAAGTTGAATAGCCTCCGCACTTTTATCTCGCGGACGCAATGCTTGTATACCAATGGCCTCGGCTTGAAGAACTAGTCCAAAAGCCCCTGAACCGAGTATTTCGCCGAGGACAAGTCTTTCTTCTGGAAACTCCCAGTCAATGTCATATGGCAAGTTTCTACACTGCTCCAATAAACTTCGATCTGGATCAATCTACACACATCATGAAGACAAAAATAAATCCATGAATTAAAAAGAGAGAAAAAAAAAGCATCACCGAATAACAAAGGAGAAATAAGATAGTTCAAGGGAAAGTGACAATGAAAAGTGAAACGAAATGGAAACACAAATAAATGAAAAATGCATAATTAAATAAGTTTTGTGAACACAATGACCTTAAAAGAAACTTTATACTAACTTGGTAGTCTGCAATTTCTGGTCCTAAACTGTACTTATTTGATAGCATTTTCTGCCGACGGTAAAAAAATATAGAAATGGCGACAAAAATAAAAAGTATTACAACAACGCAAACTACAATAATGATTAAATTCTGTGATTTCAATCTGACATCTCTTGCTTCAGGTGGTTGAGGATTGGTGGACTTCAATTCTAAAAGAAAACAATATAAACATTTAGGTCCAGTGGATACAATACGATTGGCTTATTTAACTGTTGTGCGAAAATTGTTAAGATTTTTTCAGAGAAAATAGACAGTGTTTTAGTTAGCATACAATGATATACAATAAACCAACAAATGTTTTTCCAACCTTCTCAATCGAATTATGATGGTCCTGCCACAATTTGTCAAAACACCACAAAAAGAAAAAAATAAAACATGCACAAACAAAAGAGTCTTGAGTCAAGTTGAGGATTGTATTTAGTCATTAACACAAGAAAATGCTTGAGTGATTTTTGAATATTATAACTTTCATACTTAAACTCACCACTAAGAGCGAAAAATTTTAAATCAGAGTAGAAATTTGTTGCATTACAAGAATAATTTCCCATGTCTTTCCTTGTGACTGCTTGTATTGACAGGGTAACTGTCCCCTTGCCATATTTCAGTGCTTTAAGACTATTTGTTTTAGACAAGAAAACAATTGGTTGTGGACGCCCTGTGGCTTTACAAGTGATGTTTATAGATTTTCCCAGATCTGTTATGATATTTTGATTTTTTGGATCAACCAGTAATCTTGCACGTGCTGAAAAAAATAATTTATATCTAAGTTATTTATCATTTTAGACACTAAGTAGTGTGAAGTTAGTAGTAGTAGTTAGTACAAGACATGTAATAGTGATGCTTTGTTCCCTCTTAAACATCTTTTGCTATAAAATAGACAGCTGGGTTCGTACAACCCCTGGAAAATCTGGAATGTCTTGGAATTTCATATTTTAGTTTGTAGAGTGTAATGGAAAGTTATTGCAAATATTGTTGTCTGTCATCATCAATTTATGACTACTATGCAAACTCAATTTGCATTGTTATAATTTTATCCCCTGGGGATTATGCAAATGAGACAATAAAAGTTTTCCAAAGTTTCCTTTTTTTTGTTATTCTACTCGAGGCAGCTGCGAAAGAACATTGTCTTCTTCCCAACCACCCACCCAAGGAAGGTGGGTTTGAATTGCCTAACTGCAAGTTTTTACTTCTCACTTTGGACTAGGCATGTCCCAGGCCACCCCTATCCCCATTACTTATCTCTATCTCATGAATAACAATAACTGGAGAAGAATATTACACTATTTCCTGACCTTAAACAAATGCATTATATTCAATTTGACAGTATTAAGAATACTTACTTTCAACATTTACTGGTATGGCTATACTGTTATTTCCTTTCTTATTTGATGCTTGACAAACATAGTTACCATGATCACTATATTTAGTCTTCAATATGGTCAAACTTCCTCTTAGTATGCCATGTTTACTTTCTTTTCTATACTCCAAAATAATCCTTGAGTTTTTGCAGCGTTGATATGACCGCTTGTGATAAGTGGACTTAATACAGCCTTGAATTTCTTGAGTACCTTTATACCATTTGATTTTTGGAAGGGGATAACCTTGATAATCACAGTAGATTTTGATCTTTGAAGGAGACCTCACCACAACTGCATTTGTTATGCCACTGTAGTTGGTTGGCAGTGGTGGTGTGGGTTCTAGAATCAGAAAAACAAATTGAATGAGTCTAAAACAACAATAACAGAAGAGGTTCATTAATTTGGTCTCTACATTTCAGACCCCTGGATTTTTTTATTACACCTTGTACTCCAGGGACAGATGTATAACCTTGCAGGGTCTGAAATATGACACAGTAACCTGTACTTATAAACCTTCTTTTTTTTGCAGTTTACATGTAAACCAAAGTGCTGTAACCCTCAAATGAACAAGAGTGCCATTGTCATGTTAAATTAAATCATGACATGTTACCATTAAAAACTATTTTGATAACATTGTAAAAAGGATAAGCAAGTTTAAAAGGTTGGATGGTGTCTGATTCTGTCTCACTTTCGTGCAAAATCTTAGGTCCCTTAAACAACTTGTTTCCTAACCGCCAGGGCTACTGCCGCCAGGGCTACTGTTAAGCTATTCGCACTTTTAGAATTATTGTCAAACCAAATCAACAAGCATGCCCCTATCACTTTTGTAATGGAGTACCAACCTTGTCACTATCAAATACACTAAAAATTGACCAACTTACCTAGAACTTCTATATGGGCTCCTTTGGTGCCAATTTTGTCTTCATAAGATGCTTCACATATATAAGATCCAGAATCAACAATCTGAGCATTTATTATCATCAATGTTACAGTTTTACTTTCTCCTTTCTCATCTTTTATTAATCTGCTCTCTGCAATTGGATTATTGCTTTCACCTGTAACTTTGAACCACTTGACATTATCAACATTCTTGGAAGTGCAGGATAAATTGAAATTGTCTCCCACGTCCAAAGTTTTATTTTTTGTGGAAATTTCAGCTTTAGGAATATGTGGTTCAGCTGGTCCAACGTATGTACTTGGATCTTGCCAAGTGATTGTTTCTTGGTTTCTGTTCGTAGAATTACATAAGTACCATCCTGAGGTCCTAAAACTAAAATCTTTTATTATGAAGACATCTTTCACTCTATCAACTTTATCATACTTAAAAATTTGAAAATGGTCCTCAGAGAGTGATTTAAAATACAAATTAGTGTAAGCAGTAGGATCATTTGTAGTGCAGTTGATCACCAAGCTCTTTCCAAATAAAACTTTCTTCCGTGCACCATTCGCATTTGTCTTGTAAAATCGAAACTGATCTGAAACTAATAGAATGCAAAGTGTTACAATAAAATATTTCAATTCAATATCCCCCCCCCCCCATATTGGGACTAGATCCAATCAGTGGACTTAGAAATGAAGGAATGAGAAAGAGAACAAATGAAAATAAAAATAAAATCAATAAAAATAATAATGAATTAATAAAACCATAATCAATAATAGAAATGAATAAGAAATCAAGTATATGAAATATGTGATCAATTATTAATTTATTCTAATAGTCAAATTAATGATTGATTTATTACTATAAAACAAGTTTACATCGACACAAACGCTTATTGATTGGTATCACAATATGTGATCATACAACAATTTATTTTTCTATGTGCGCCAAGAGCTACATTGAATTTTTCAATATTAAAAAAATATATACAGTATTAAATCGATACAATATTTCAGGACTGCTAATTAACAAACCGACATAACGTTGCATATAGTAAGAGGTGCACTCCATTGGATATCTACGGCGTTAAACCAAATTGCATGCTTTATGAATTGTCGCGTGCTCATGCAAGTGTATCGCGACAATTGATGCATGCCTTTATTATCGATCGAAAAAATCAATAGTACGAGCTGCGACTTCACTAATAACCATTGCACAATAAATATCACAATTTTTTTAGAAAATTCATTTGGATTTCTCACTCCATATCGGATTATCACTGTTGTTTTGAGATTCATACATTATCAAATATCTTCACAATTGAGGGGAACAAGACGTCAAAATAAACACGGGTTAGTTCTCATTCTCCCTACAAAAGCCAGGCTCTTGAGTAGTAATTGGTATCATTTTGATGTAAATACAATCTCAAAGCGTTGCTAGAAGTGTATGATTAACTGCTGATTTATACGTTGAAGAGTCAAAGACTACAATGATTTGTGAATGTACGTACCAGTAGCCAACGCAGTGGGTACACAAATCAAAGCCAAGGCTACTATGAGTGCCAGTTTGCCTTCGTTTCCAGTCCTGTTAGTTACAAACAGTTTCTTCAACAATGCCATAAAGAATTCAAGATGAATTTGGCTATTTACTCTTGAATATATTATCCATCCTATCCCCCGATGATCTTCCGGTCGATATCGATTCAGCCTTGAGCGTCTGCGCGGTCAAACCAAGGGCACCAATCGTCCCTTGACGTCTCAATTGTCAATCAAGAAGACGAGTTTTATTGGGAAGTCGCCAATATTGTTGCAATATATTCCAGTTTCCTGTGCAACTACATCACTTACTGCTTGACATGCAATGTCTTTTTAGTCATTCACATGACATTTGTTTTGAATAATATAATACAGCAAATATTGACAAAGAAATCGTTTTTGTTTCCTGCTGCATTTCATTTTCATAATATAATTATTTCAACAGTGTCTTTGGGTTCGCCTTCACTATTTTTCAATTTTGGGCCAAAATAACTCCTGCTTTCAATGTGTACAAACGCATAGATTTAATGGGTAAGGATAATCAGATAAGGGATCAAAAAGCTTTAATAGGGTATTTTATGATATATTGGAAGTGATTTTCTAAGTGCATTTCATCGGACAGCCACCCATTTCCAATATTTACATTGAAACGGAAATATGCGGGATATTCTTGCTTAGAGGTCAGTTGCAGATTTATGATGCAATTCAAAAAATCTGCTCTCAAGCTTTACATGTAAGTTGGCACATAATGACATAAATATCCGGAGAGTGAAGATCGAACTCGGTGAGGCCATTAGAATTTTGGAGCGAAGGCTGGAAGATTTTGTCCGTGCAAGAATTTTTTTTGGACTTTAGGCGCTCACTCGTATTAAATTTACATAAGATTTAGTGGAGATTTTTCAAAATAAGTGCCTTGCAGGAATTTTTTTTCGGCACTCCGTGCAGGAATGGTTTTTTTAATCTTCCAGCCCCCACTTAAAAATATCTAATGGATCGCCCCTAATATAATCTAGTCCTGAGTAACCATAATAGTTTGTCTATATCACTTTCCCAAAGTACTAGTACTAACTTCGAAGCATTACCAGCCCACCCTTGGGCTAATCTCAGTTCTCATCTTATCAACTCGGTCTGGGTTTTCAACTGTCCACACGGTGAGTGTTCATCCATCAAAGTCGTCGTACATAGTGGTTTAATTACATGTTAACAAAATATTAAGCTATCAACGACGCGATATCATATGCAACATCTTCCGTTGGACTGTCTAGCTATGGTCCAACAATGATGGGTTTCCCCGATACAGTGACATATCCATATTTCTATATTTGATTGAATTATTCTAAGGAAAGGTGGCTAGCCACTCCAATGATGCCCCCCTGAATCCGTCCTTGCCTGTGTTTATCTAAAACCATTCAAAATGCTTACGTGCTGTATAAGAAATCTTTATTATGAAACTCTACTTCTATATATTTTGCAAAATTAAAATGAAAAATACTCATTACATTTGTTTAAAACGAAAACATGAAATAATTTAATTCAAAATACAGATGTGCACTATCACACCTGAACAAGGTAGGCACATGCTATACGCGAACAGGTGGCCAAGTCCAGGAATTCTCAATGTTAGGAACAGTTGCTTCAAACATTTTAATATTAGTTAATTTCAATTTGATAGTAAAGTCCCAGAAAAGCGAGAAATGTTGGATCCAACACCATCAAACATTGTTTTATAATGTTAAAGAAAGTTATGTCTATTTGCCACCTTGTCTGATGCTGAAATATAGTGGTATGTAGTTGGATGACGCTTGAAAGCGGTTTGGCTACCATGGATGACATGAATTGGTTTGATTATCCAACAATAGTGTTGAGTGATCAAATATTTCTCGTTTTCTCGAGCCTTAAACCTGTGGAGTTTAGAACTAGCGCAAAGTACTTACAGCTCGCTTGTACCAGTTACAAGTAACAATGATAAATAACTCTAAAAATTTCGCAATCTAACTATACATATTGATTAATCGGCTTATAATTTTTGATATTTGTCCTGGTTCATTTGTATTGTCTTACCACCATTATATAGTATATTACAGATGATTTAAAACTTGCCTCCCACACGAAATACGGGGTATAAGGTACGTCGTTATAAATTTCTAATGCTTAAATGTATGATAAAACGATTTTATCCCATTCGAATTTTTCTCTCTTCACTTCTAGTTCTGTTGTTGTGCTCAGAAAGCACTATAGAAGAGAAGAAACACTACTCTCTTTCAGTATAGTGATCTAAGGCTACATGTTGTCACCACTGGAGACAAAACAGTACGTTCAATCTTTAGAACTCTTCAAGCACTGTTATCTTGAAAACGTTTCTACCCAGTGTAGAGACGCAGCTGCTGCCATATTGTGTAAAGCATTATAATGTATTCTCAGTCTCCTATCATTGTCTCTGCCAAGGATAGTGTTCTATGGTATATAGTTCTTTCAATATTCGTGATACTCTATTGCCACGTCTCAGGAGACCTCTATTCACCTGTGGACAATCCTCGGAGGGGCTGCAAAATCGTGGCTGATGCAACAGGCTAAGTCCTACAAGCTAAACAGCTGATTCTTGCGACGATTTTCCTTTCCCTTTTGGAGAAAAGCGAGTTTCATCTTCTAAACGAACTATTAGTGGTTCATTCTCTTCTCTCTCCTTTTCCTTTTCATCGATGTCGATACCACTTTCATTACTGCTCTGGCTGGGTTTCCTTGGTTCATCCTGCAGCAGTTTCTTTGTAGCCTCTTCATAAGTCGGAGGGATGCTGGGAAGGGGTCCTGTAGGACCGTCATATCCTGGAGAATCTGGTGGAAGACCTGGTAATGGCGAATCATATCTGGAAAAATGATGAACGTGYTAATTGGTATTGTATTGTTGATAGGGAATAGTGATAAGAAAAATGGATGAGATTCTTTCATTTTGCAGGAATGAGACCAAGATGCACCTTTTACTTTTAGGGTGCTAATAATTCCCATAACAGAACTGAGTTTAAAAACAACAACAACAACAACAACAACAACAATAAAGCAAAAAAACAACAACAACAACAACAAAACAAAACAAAACGCTCCCGCAGTTTTTGAATTAATGAGGGTTAAAACTCACTTGTTTGATGTGTCTGGACGTGGAGTGGGGAGAGCCTCCTCGTAACCATCCGCTGTTTGCCTTCCTTGAGTATTGAAAGCATCACAAGGGTTAAGGTAGTAATCTGTTGCTCCTGTTTGTTCATCCATTTCCAAATAAATGTAGGGGTTGTCCTATATATACAAAACGACGTATTCGCATTAATATCGTAAGGTATGTAGACATGCATAGGTCAACTAGACCTATAAAGGATCACTTTAAGGCCAGAACAAAAAAATTAAAAAAAAAAAAAACGAAAACGAAAAACAATCTGTCATGAAACAAGTATATTTTTCGGACCATTATCTAACAATACCTTGGGAAAGTAAATAAGATTCCATTGCAGTCAGGGTCTTAGATGATAACAATTATGGTTGATTGACTTATTCTAGACAAGTTCTATAATCCCATGTCTAAGGATGGAATTGGTTTTGTAAATACAATTGCTGTCAAACACAGAATCATGTTACCTCTGAGACGTTCCTTTCAAGTATCTTTCCTAATCTCTCAGCAATGGCCGAAAACTCAGGTCTCTGTTCTGGAAACTGCATCCAGCAGTCTCTCATAATAGCATACATCTCAAGAGGACAATTCTGTGGCTGCTTCATTCGYTGACCTTCACTTAAATAGTCTAGTAGTTGTTCCGTTGGTAGACCAGGGTAGGGATTTCCACCAAGAGTGAAAATCTCCCATAATACAATCCCAAATGACCATCTATAATTGTCAAACATTGACACAACATAATTAGAATCATCTGGTCTCGAAATTATAGRTTATCTAACATTTATAAATAGGTTCTTTGCATGTAGCCTGGTGATGCACAGASCTCGTCTATTAACTTGCCAGCAGTGGCTATTAGATCACAGAGTAAATGATAAAAGTTACTTACACATCACTCTTCTCAGTATATACACGGTCAAACAACGATTCCATAGCCATCCACTTCACAGGCAAAAGTCCACTGGTCGTCTTCACGTASAGATCGTCCTTGTATATGTCACGTGCAAGACCGAAATCRGAGATCTTCATRACGAAATCCTTTCCCACGAGTACATTTCGTGCAGCTAAATCGCGATGAACACACTGAAGATTATAATACAATTACCATTCATCAATTCAAGCATACAATCGTAAATGTATTTACAATTTTTTCCTTTCTAATTTTGAAAATTAAAAATTTCAAATCTAAACAACTATGTTTAAAAAGTTTTCGCCGTTTTTAAGGGAGAGCGCGAATATCCACGATTACGTCTTTACCAAAGACGACCTATTACCTTTCTTGAAGCAAGGAATTCCATACCACGTGATATTTGATAAGTCGCCATTGCTAAGTCGACAAGGGTAAACTCCTGCTCAGGGTTGTTTGAAGTCTTCACCCAGTTTGGTTCATAGATGTCACGTCGCGCCCTCAAGAATGATAACAAGTCTCCATGAGGCGCAAAYTCGATAATCACCATTAACCTTCTACCACGAGTACAGGCACCAAGAACGTTAACGATGTTTTTATGGTTGCCAAGATGGATAAGAATCTTAAGTTCAGATGCCAAGTCTTTGTAGTCATTCTGGGTGGCCCCCTCTGCGTATAGAATCAACAATAGACTATAGTTAGAACGAAAAACATATACCATTTATCACAGAATAGTATACTATCCGATAATATGAACAGCAATTCTCATATAATGCAATTTTACCTTTCAGTGTTTTAACAGCAACGGTTGTCTTGCTGATTCTCATGCTAGCGTATTCATTCTTCTTCTTACTCTCCCTCATTGACCTTCGTAATTTAGAACGATTTTTTACTGCGTCTGGAGTCTTGTCACGAGGTTTGAATGCTGCCATACCAATGGCTTCGGCTTTAACAACCTGACCAAAGGCACCAGAACCAAGGGGCTTACCAAGAATTAGCCTTTCCTCTGGGAACTCCCAGTCCATATCATATGGCAAGTCATTACACTGATCAAGAAGACTTCGGTCCGGATCAATCTAAACAGAAAGGTTGGAAAGATTTTGATTAATTGCATAGAAACTAGTAGAAAGAAAATATAATAAATACATCAAATCTAGATAATTGAGAGAAAGAATACGAATAGGTCCAGATTTCTATTTTTCCCTTATTTTTCTGATGTTTTCTTCCCACTGTAAACATGCTGTGACGTCATTATGCTTTGACGCAATGATTACAGGACTGACGACGAGACAATGAATTAGGACTTCTTGCTCTATTTCAAGCATAAACAGACAGAATAACAGTGATGACTGCAGATGAGACTCCTCGTGTCCTACCGCGACCGCACCCAGTGTCTGTTTCACTGGCTGCCCAGACCAAAAGAAATTCTCACTATAATCAATTACCTTTGTTCAGTCCAAAGATGCAAAAGTACTGAAACATCTCGACATAAGGCACCATTTTTCTTTTAAATAGGGGGGGCGGGGGAGGGGGGGGCGAGGGTTGGCAGGCCAATTCAAACGGAAAGGGCCCATAATCATTCTGGGTCCGCAGTAATGTCGTAGAAACTCTTACATACAAACCTTGTAATCTGAATTTCCCGTTCTAAGAAAGTACAATTCTTTGTATTCCTCGATTTGCTTTTTTTGGCGTCTGTACACAACGAAACAGATGACAGTGACGAGCAAGACAAAGGCTACACATCCAACTATGATACCAATCAGGGCTTGTTTAGATATCGCTTTGTCTCCCGTTTGTCCACTTACATCTGCCTTGTACTCTGTCAAAAAATAACATTTCATGAAAATACAGCTCATGCATTTATCGCAGTGCATTGGTTTCTGACAAAAGTTAAAAATGTATTTTGCGCGTTTATTCAAAAGAAAAAAATGACAACCACGCACTAGATTGTAGGTTTGTGGCACTTTTCGCCATTCCAAGATATCCAGAGCGGCCTGCGCGGCCTGAGTGGGATAAAAGTCACATAATAATGGAAAGATCTCAAGAACTTGCTGGATCACAAGCTCCAGTAAATCTGGAAAATGAAAAAAGATAGCGGCGGATCCAGTAAATATGGGTAATCTTGGGGCTAATGAAGTTTCTTTGCAAAATTGTTTTAGTTGTCTTTCAGATTGATTCCTATTCAGATTTAACCCCTAATTCTATTTATTTTAATATCTTCAATTTCTACATAGTTGAGCACTGAAAAGGAGATTTCCCTAGCCCCCTAAACACCCCCTGGATCCGCCCTTTATAGAAGTCATCAAAGACGTACCAGCGATAGAGATGTGACGTGCAGCAGATTTGTAGTTTGTGGCATTGCAGCTGTAGTTTCCAAGATTCTTTTTCAGAAGCTCGACAAACCGCAGTCTTGCTGAGCCTTTACCACTTACCAAAATGTCTGTTTGACCAGTTCTTGTCCAGACAACAGTAGGAAGAGGATTACCACTTGCAGTGCAGCTGATGTTGAGAGATTGCCCTAACGTTACTTCTATTCTCCCGTTTTTAATGGGATTGGTAATTTTTGCAGCCTCTGAGGGGAAAAATCAAGAGTTCAAATTCTTAACTGTCTTCTCATACTGCCTCAGTTCCAGAGGCTCAATTTTTCATTTTTTATCACTGTTGGTGTTGGTTAGGAAATCGATCCAATCGAACCAATACGATGCACCAACAAGTCCATGTTGATTCACAACTACATTTAGCTTTTGATTTTGAAGTATATCATAATACCAAGATGGATTGCAATACAGTGATAGAGTGACCATACTAAATCCATGAAATTACACAAATCTGATTATACGCATAGTGTGTATTGAAATCTTGTTCATAAAGAACAATGATGATTCAAAATACTATTTTGATTGTTTTGGCATTTTCTCACTAGCGTGCTACGATTGCAGATAAAAACAAAATGAAAATGTTTCCAAAGCTACAATGATGAGCTTGATGGTCAGTTTGAAAAACGTTAATCAGTTACATTTTCCTGAATCATTTCTCTGAATGACACTAAGAATTGAGAAAAGTCCCCACCTAAAATGTTGATTTGAGCTTCTTGAGAATCACTTCCAGCAATATTTTCAGCAATACATCTGTATTTTCCTGTGTGATATTGATGTTTTGGATGGCAGATGATCAAGGGTGATCCAACTTTTGTAACCACATAGTAATAGCCAGCTGTCCTTGAAGCACAGCTGTCCGAGTTTTCATTATCTACACGGTCACTGCTAGCAATCTCAATTAATGTATCGTCTCTAAACCATGTCACAGTTGCTGGAGGATTAGCATTTGAAGTGTCACAACTGAGAACAACTAATTTATTTTCGTCTTTAACATCTTGGGACACAAGACCAGTTATATTCGGTGCAACTTGAGCTGTAAAACAGTAAAACACACACCATGAGGTCTTATAGGTATGAAAGCCAGTACAATTAGTTATCAATGTAGCAATATACCTCCCAATAGGGTCTACCCCTGGCTCATCATCATAAAACGAAATAACCATACAAATAACTAAAATCTCACTTACGTTTTATAGTGAATCTGATGGTGTCATTCTTATCCCTATCTGTTGGTGTACTGCACGTATAGATACCAGAGTCTTCTGCTGTTGTGTTTATAAGATTGAAGACAAATCTATCATAGGAATTCTCTTCACTACTGTTTGCTCGATTTACTTGAATTCTGTCATCAGTGAAAGGAGAGATCTGCTCATCCCCTCTGAACCAAAGAACACCAAATGGACTAAATTGCTTGAAGATGTCACACTCAATTTTAATTTTTTGTATTCCTGCTGTAAATGTATATGACTTCTTGGAGCTGACGATTTTAACAACTTCAAAAGCTTCTGTTAAAAAGATTTAAAATTAAAAAATACATGTAAATCCCAAGAAAGTTAAAAAAAAATCATCAAAATTAGCCCTGTTATGAAATGGTCACTGTTTATTATATATATACAATATGTAGATAGAAAATGGAAAATATGAAGAACCTAAACTTGRCTGAAAGACAAGTTAAAAACATTGAGCAAATTCCTTTTTTTTTGCACTTTTTTTGAATAACAAAATTAACTTTTCTTTTTTGTGGCTAGTGCCTAAGAGGCTCTAGCCATAATGTAATCGCCCTTGAGCGAGTGTAATTCGGGAATAGCTCGTATTCCATTTGGTTCTTTTCGGGATAAGCTCGTATTTCCACTCGGCATTATTCGAAGAGATTGCGATGATGGCGRACTTACTACGATAGAAGTAAATTTCAAAGGTTCAAATACTATTCGGGTGGATGATGCATGTCACAGACTTTTATCGACAACAATGTTGAAGCTACGTTGTCGCCACGTGCGAGTCTAACTTGAAGGTAAATTCGTTTTATATCATGTATTTTCACTATTTTACTTCTTGAACCAGACTCAAGTTTGGATATGTCTATCAGCTGTTTGCTCTTAAGGAGTTTTTCAAGAATTTACTAAAACAAAAAGAGTGTCATCTATATGTTTTATCCAACTGTTGAGTTATATAGCATTTCTTGTTTTCAAATAAAGTTAAATGTGTGCGATTCTTGTTTACTGTAACTCATTGATTTTATTGATTTTGAGAAGGAATTCCAGTAGTCATATGTCTTGATGTAGTATTCAGTTTCTATATGTGAAACGTTCATTATATCATCCATATAGATTAATATGTTATTTCTCTATTAAAACACACCTGACATTCTAGAGCATTTCACACAAGGGAAATCCTTATAAGCAAATATGTTTTACACTCTCAATTTTTGTCCTTTTTTCATTCTCAATAAAACTAAAGCTTATTATAGTCTAAGTTGATTGCTTATTTTTTATACTAGAACTAGCCACATTCAGTCTTTGAATGCATATTTTTTCTAACAGGTCTACACATTTTGCTGATCAAACTATCAATGTCATGTTCATTCAGATTGAACACCAAAATACACATTACAACTCCAAAATAAAAATGTACCTTCAGTTTTAATCACATTTTCTACTTACCACTACGAATTAACGAGATTGTAAAGTTATCTGAACCATACTTATTCCTCGCTTTACATCGGTAAAATGTTTCTTCTTGATCCTTTGGGACATTAACAATGCTTTCTAATGCAGGAGTACCAGGTTTAGGTTCAACTGTGTGAGATTTGGAATCCAGTGGAATCCAGTCATCAGCATTTGGGGTACAATCACCCTTCTGTGCCACACAAATTCGCTTTTGAAACTCCCAGGTCCAAGTAGGTTCTGGATTACTCTTCTCAATTGTACATTTTATCTCAGCAGCTGAATTTTTCAATGCTAGTACTGTTGGACCAGTATATTTTCTATCTATTTTGGGCTCCACTAAAGAGAGAGAGAAGAAGAATTAAATTTTATAGGCCACCATTATTACATGGGCTTCCTGTGGAAGCTCAAGAAGATCAAGCCTTGCTCGTTTTTCGTGTGCTCATGCTTATGCTTATTTTGAGCCCGTTCTCACTGGCGCATATGACTCTCGTGCTTCGTGCTTATGCCTATGCTTATTCGCTACTAAAATCCACGCTWTATAAATCATTGCACTTTGTTTCCAACAGGTTGATCGGTGTAAACATTGTTGAAAACTTTTCGTATAACCTTGCTAAGTGTTGATGTCTGTAATGTAAGCATTTATAAAACTGGTATTTTTAAAACTAGCACTTTGCGGCTAGATATTTTTGAGATGGAGTAGCACACATGCCGTCCAGGCGTAAATAACATTGCTACAGGAAGCTAAACGGTATTGAGCGTCTAGTTTTATTCTTAAAATTCCAAGAATATCATATGGTCCAATTGTCTTGGATATTGCAAAACAACCTGTTCATGATGCTAAACATTGTTCACTTTAGTACTTAAGTACTTTAGTACTCAAACCTGATAATCGTGAATGTTGGAAATTCTTCAGAGTTCTGAAATTTGTGCGCTAGGGATTGAATACACCTTTTTCTGTTCCCTTGCATTCAACTGGAAAAAGGCTTTTTGTTATATTTTTCTCATGCAAGTTTTTGAACTCTTCTAAAGATCTGAAAATTCATGACTTGTTTTGACTTTTTCATGGCTTAAAACAAAAGAGAATAAATTCGYAAATACTCTCATTTCATGCATGCGACCTTCAACTGGTTGGTACTTCATAGGCACAAGATGATTAGCACTAACTGCTTCAGTCATTTTTATATGAAAAATACAACTAATAGTGTCAATGAATTCTCATACACCTGGACAAACCTTCAGGACTTTCCAGGCTTGAGGACTCATAAAAAAAAATGTATGACTTTTCTCAGGTTTTCATGCAAGGAACCTCATGAAACCTGTTTAAATAGATCATGGCAAGTACTAAACATTAACATGTTGCTCGCGTTACAACCATCTTGTAAGCTTATGTGGGGTGTTGAGAAACWACTACAAAGTTTCTTTGGCAACATCTGTTTAGTAATAAAAAGTATTTCGAATGACCAACATTAATGGTGGATTACCGTATATATCGTAATCGTACCTTCTATGTTCACAGAAATATTAGCTTCTGCCGATACAACTTGTTGTTCCATAGCTACACAGCGATATATTCCATGATCATCTGGATATGTTGCCTTTGATATTTTTAATAAACCTCGGTATCTCTTGTGTGGTACGACAACAATTTTTTCAATTGTGTGCTTCATTCCTTCACATTTTTTATTTAATCTAGTGGTCACTTGACATCCAGGAACTGTGATCTCTTTGTCTCCTCTGTACCATTTTATATCTGGTTCAGGATACCCWGTTACAGTACATTCCACATTGACATCTTGTAAATTTGGAGTCTTAACTGTTGGGGAATGCAATACTATTTGTGGYGAGGTAGGTTCTGTAAGCAGACAAMAAATGTTTTAGTTRACATTTATTTTTCAAATTATTTTTATAATTATATAATTTTAATTTTAATAATGAACTCTAACAATGAAGACTGGACTGAATTTCAAGTCCGCAAAATTAGTTCCAGTCCATGGTGACAACCAACAAGCATCTACCGTGGGGGACTGGACAAAATCCCCTAATTGGATAATCATTACATAAGATTTACATAGAAAGAAAGCCCTTGTTGAGAAATGCAAAATTCCAAAATTTGATGTAAATCAGTTCAATAGTGAGCGAGTTACASCCTTTCAAATATTCTAAAATGTATGGACAGCCGCGAATGTGTCCGGAAAATGGTCAAAAGAAAAAAGATCACATACATTTCTTTGGAAATTTTAGAATATTTGTAACTTGTTCACTATTGAACTGATTGACACTAGATTTTGGAATTTTGCATTTCTCAACAAGGGCTTTCTTTCTATGTAAGTCTTACCTCGACCTATCTCGTGATTATCCAATAAGGGGATTTTGCCCAGTCCCCACTCRGTTTGAAATCCGACAATAATATTTTTTGCAAGAAACAGTAACATGGTACTAAATTCACCATGCTGGATTGTAAAATGTCCACTGAGATGTTAAAAACAGAGAAAAGTCAATCTTGATGGCCTGMATTCTTTTTGTTTTTGAGCTTGTTTACATTTTTTTGCTATCCATATGATTCAGCCTCATATGACTATTTCATGCAAAAGGCCTATTAGGGAAGTTGAGAATAGACAAATCTAATCAAGTACACTACAATTTTTCCTAAAATACACTGTAAGTCTATCTATTATTAGGTATACAATGACTTACTTAARACCCTCAAACCAGTCATCTTATAGTTTTTCTTGCCTTTCAAAGAYAATACACATTTGTAATTCCCAGAGTCACTTGTTTGTGCATTCTTTATTGTCAGGACTACTCTTTTCCCCATTTTATCTTCTGTAGTTATAACTTTATCAGCTGGGACAGCAACTTCATCATTTGGTGCAGAACCCATTTTGTACCATGTAAGCTTTGTTCCTTTTCCACTTCTGCATGTAAAATTAGCACTCTTTCCTTCTGATATAACTACCATTGCTTCTGGAGAAACATACATTTTAGGAAGGGCAAAATAATCTGGGATTAAAAATAGACCAGGCTCAGCCCATTCAATTTTTTGCCCTGATTGATTGTCAGTTGCACGGCACCTGTAACTCCCTGAATCCGGCAGTCCAAAGTCTAATAATGTGAAAACATCTCCATTCTTTACAAATTGTATTGTATTTAACTTTGGACTTGTTAAAGAGACCCACTGACCAGAATGCTTCTTCAGTAGTTCTGTTGTTACATTGTTACGATTAGTGGTACAGTTGATGACAACATTTTCTGCAAAGGGTACAGATTTAACAGGAGGCACGCCTGCTGTATGAAAAAAAGCAAACTTTGCGGACATTCCTGAAAACATAGAAAGGGAATAAAGAAGATCAAATAATTTGAAAAATAGTTTCTTTATTGATTGTTGTCTATGTAGTTTATTATTGGACTCAACCTCCCACACAATCTTATGTATACAATATATAGATTTCCTACAGCTCATGAGCAAGCACTCTAATTGTTAATATCAAATTCATAAGGTAAACACAATGGAAAATCAATGCTGTGACCGCATCTTTATATGAGCAAGAGATTTGTCCTGATTTGCATACGACTTTAACTTCGATTTTCTCTTACAAATGATAATTTTATCCTGAAGTCTTTTTTCAAAATATGCTTTACCTTATGTTAATATTTGATAAGCAATATACATGTAAAATATTCACGTACGACCTTTATGGGCCATAAAACTGCTCGCTTACAGCTCGCAGTTTTAAATGCCCATAAAGGTCTTCTGCTCATATTTTATATACCGCTATTACATAATGATTTGGTCTCATACAATGTATTTGTACAACTGTAGATCATCGGGCACGAGAAATGGTTCATAGAACATCTAGTTTGCTCAGTTGTTAAATTCATATTAATTTGAACTGGAACTTGGCCATTGCTTACATGAATAAATTTGAATTAGAACAAACAAAATCGAGAAATAAAAAATCTAAAAAAAAGCAGAGGGAGCAAAGTCACTATAAATTATAACTATGTTTTTTCTTTTTAACTTTTTGTTTAATAAAAACTTATTGAGCACTACCCTGGTGTCAATGCTATGCACACAATAATTGTGTATTTATATACAGCACATTGGAGTTTTATGAAAATTATACGGATCTAAATAGACAGGAATTGATCAAATCATACTCCAATGACCATTGCAGGAGGTCTATAGTCTCTAGCAAACAAGCCCACATTGTATGATTGCAATTAATCAATTTATATCATGGAGTTATCCCGAATTACATCCACACGCACTTACAAAGTGATAGCATAGTGGCTTGAGCCTCGTTCCGAGGCACTAGCCACAAAAATGAATATCCCTTTGTTTTCTATTGCCTTATCTGCACTATTTAGCACTATTCAGTTAAATACTTTTTCACATTTAAATGTTTTCAGACATCTAACCCAAACAATAGTCTGTTTAAAGCTTAAACATAACTATCGAAAATTGAGAAATTATTTCCCATGGGAATGACCTTGACACATGAAAGCAAAAGCCTTAATAACAGTGTCTACATAATATTTTAAAGCATGAGACAAAATAAATGTATTGCAGTTAGACATTTTCATCTTGTTATGTCTTTCTGAGGACTGTTGATAAGTCAGTAATCATACTGAGGCAATGTTATGATATTAAAAAGTACTTAGGATTTTAATTTAGTATTACTTTTTTCTATCCAGTGCACTCCAAAAATGTTCAAGTGATAAAACAAAACCTCCAATACAGAGGGCTGCCTTGATCCGAATGGCCATTGCTTAAGGGCATTGATGGCAAGACTATGCCCTATGGCCTTCTCTCTAGAAGCTCATCAGTTGAGAGTTTTCTGGTTCTTCTAAATATAATATACAATGTGCATTTTTCATTTGAAGTTCTTATGTGATCTTTCCACCTTTATCTTTTTGTTTTATCAAGATTGACTAAGACTTTGCAAACATATTTTGCAAAGTCTAAATTAGTTGCATTCTTAAGATAAGTACATCAAATCCCATCAAGCACAGTCACCCCATGGTATGAGACCAGTTCGTATCCAACTATCGGAAAATGCYACTTTTAAACAAACTAATAACSCTACGTACATTTCAAGACAACAAAACAATTCAATATGGCAATCGAAGTTGATATGAAAAGTTCAAGAGCTTTTTTTGTTTACTGAGCGTACAAGTATGCTAATAAAACATGTTTACAAGTTCAAAATCTATGTTTAAATTGCTTAAACTAAAAAATGGTTTGAAAGATCCCCCTGTCTTATAACACAAAATGATCAGCATCACTTATATCTCATATTCGTTGTATTTTTAACATCGATCATGTTTATAATCGACAAGAATGAATTACAAACAATCGAAAATCTTTTTCACAATAGAATCATGTTTTACATTCAGTTGTATTTTTCGTGGTGTTTGTTATATAATACTTATCCAAACCTCTATTGTCGAACAGCGAAGAATCAAACGTGAGCAAGGAATATATTTTAAACGATGGCAATTCTCTGTTTTATAATACTTTACTTGATTGACAAACACAAAAGTCTGTCATGTCTCGTGTCCTTGGTCATAGCTTGAAACTACAACGGTCTTTAGAATATATAAGCTTAATCTATTCATTTATCAACAGTAATGACATTTTTGTACATTGAATTGCATAGAAATGTCAATTTATTCATGTTTTTGCTTTCTAGTTAGGATTCGATGAACTATAACATGCGCGTGCTTATGGCGTGTTGTCTTCTTAAGAGCATAGATTTTAGCTTTCAATCACTTATAAATGACGGTTATTGCAAGGAAACCACGTAGAAAAAGCATGGTTCTGAATGTTCTAAACAGAGGAGTTATAATAATGTTTTTGGCCTAAGGTTACGTGAGTCACAAATAGCTAATATGTTCGTACCTTAGCTTATGTGTCAGAGAGGTTAAAAGAGATAGCTTAGAATAACATTTCAACGTACTCATACCCTCGCAAATATTGAAGCTAAAAGTACAGTAGGAATGTTCATATTGTATAAAAATACACTCATACACAATAAGTTGTAAAATCATCGTGATAAAGGGTAAATTGACATCGAGTAAGCAAGTTTTAGACAGCCGCTGTTCTGGAACTTGGATAGCTTTTATCAAGTTATAAGCTTAATATTCCTAAATTTAGACGAATTTCATACAATCAACAGCAGTAATTCTATATAATTATAGRAAAAAAAAACAGAAGCACACAAAAATATAACGTCAAAAGGGTTTACCTTGACCAACCAAGCCAAGAAAGAGTACAACGCGTGCAAGCCAACAGACCCAAGGCACGGCTCGGCAAATCCGCGCCATTTTGAATTAAAACAATTCGTCTATGACTGCCAAATTCTTATTCTGTAGAATAATAAGTCTATCTTGTGTATAGTGGTTAAAAAAGTCAATCTAGGATTCAGCAAATGTTGAAATGAATGTTCAAAATASAGGAAATGCTTAGGTGTGGTATGAAGTCATCATTGGTCTACGAGGACTTTGGCCAATCACGTTCCGAACAGCGAACGTCACGACGGCTTTCCGGAAACGTACGAGTGACATCTCGAAAATTACCGAAGAGCCACAATTTGATTCCGGAAGTGAACACACAATCGCGATAGCAATGCTAAAACAAGGCTTTTGTAAAGGTCAACTTTGCAACCAGATGGCTGAGGATAATTCCAAATTCCCTTGAGATCTTTAGAAGTGTTGAAAGGGCCTGTTGAAAAATGCCTAAATAAACTTGCTGTCTTGCTAAGGAGGATGAACATTGTAAAAGTAATGTAATGGGGAGGGAGGGTCAAACTGCGTGTTTAGGAGAAACGATTTATCTTCTTTTCCTTTGCAAGATTTCTTCATGCTTGATCAACAGATATAGCTGTCAAGGGCTGTAGTGTAGAAGGTGTAATATATTCATACGTCATGGTATTACCAATGGTGCTTGAGAAGGAATTAAAGAGACACTGTCAATGGCACGCATGCGCGAGTAAACTTGAAAACATTAGGCTAGTGTTTTCAAGTTTATGACTCCAAGTTGGCGCGACATAAATCAGCTCGGAAATGTAAACAGATCTAGAATATCCCAAAGTGTGTCAAAAGCACCACAAAATGATTTACCTCTAAGGTAATAAAGTCCGTTAGAGGTGAGACTGTTACTGCGCATGTTATCCATTGACAGTGTCCCTTTAAGTAGTCAAAGAACCAAACTGTCGTATGCCTCGTTGCTCGTTATTCCCCTATTACTCGCCATACGGGTACGTGTCGCCAACCAGGGTATCGTTTTCATGATCGATTTTATTCTGGAACAGGGTATCGTTTCAAGCAAATTTACTCTGGGACAGGGTATCGATTTCAACGATTTTTCTCTGGAACAGGGTCAGGGTTTAATTCCGGAATCATCGATGCTGGGTAAAAATTCACGGGGTGGAAGTTCGATCTACACGCAGGTTAGTGCTGAATTTTACTCTGAAACAGGGTATCGTTTTCAGCGATTTCACTTTATGGGACAGGGTCAGAGATTTGAGGTCCCAGCGGCACCTCCCCCGAGGGGAGGCGTTTTATGGGCGGAGGAGAAGTTGCATCCACTCCACCCATAAAATCTTAACCTTTCATGATCATAAAGAAGTGAAGTCATGATCATGTGATATAAAGAATTAAGTCGAGTAATTATATGATAGTTAATGATAATCTACGGAAAATAGTATGACATCAACAACAACACAGACAAAAAATGTCCACCCTCTTGACAAGTCCCCTGTCAGCGGCCGGCTTTTTCGCAATAAGATGATCGGTGACTAAAGCTGATATTGACCGGCAAACGAAATAGTCAAAACTAACGAAGCGATCCTTAAATCTGTCTGAATCTTTTTCCAATGGGAGAGAAATGTCATCTGTCACAACATTTAGACTACTGTTTTCTTGCAGRTTGAAAATAGGTCTATAGTTTTATCTACCATTTAATGGTATTTAGTAATACTAATTTAGTAGACAAGATAGTAAACAGAAAAAGGAATGAGATCAGTGGAGTTGAGTGGGATTAGTTGAATGCCATAACGTGATTGGCCAAATTTTAAAAAACGCATTGCAACATAAGAAATGTTATTGAATGTCTATTTTTCGTCATCATTCTTAATAACCTTAATCCATAACTAGACGATAACTAGACATATACTAGATGTGCATCAGATAAGTTTACTAGCACCATTGTCAGTTAATTCTTAATGTTTCGATATATCATGCGGTACAATACGATCAGT